TTTTTTTTTTTTTTTTTTTTTTTTATTTTTTTTTTTTTTTTTTTTTTTTTTTTTTGTATTTTAGATTAAGTTTTAGTTTGGATTAAGCACAGTTGGTTTTTGTTTGAGCAAAAAGGCTCAGAAAATTTTAGTTCTTTAGCAAAATGCATCAGTTTTGGGTATTTACAACAGTACAGAAGAAATTAAAATAATAATTGTTGCAATCAAATAATTATATCGTAAAATACAACTTAAAATATACACACAACATTTAGGGTATCAATTAGCTGTGGGTTACTCCTAGCATATCATCTTCATGTTTGGAGAGTAATATGAAGCACTAAAAACTAATTATACATATAGCCTCATACGCCATTTATATTGTAATAGTTTTTTTTTATATCTCGTATAGAATATCAAATATTTAGTAGTGTTTGTAGTTGGGGTAATTATAGTTAGAGTATAATACAGACTAAACTACTTATGTAAGTAGATAAATGTAAGCTCGTAGGTTAGAACACACACAACTAGTTACTACACATTTAGGGGGGCATTATGGGTGGCAAAAAAACGTGATTTGCTGAGAATTGTGTACAGTCTAAACAAAACACAGTTTTTACAAAGGGAAGGTGGAAAAAGAAAAGCAGCAATTCAAAGACACAACTCCCAAATCAATGGGGACAATCGTCTAGGCTAGTTGGTATATTATAAATGCAATACACGATATGAAACAGAATTGTGATAATGCGAATGTAGTTTAGTATAGTCTATGATGGGGTATTGGGTTAACGCTAGGGTTTTGAGAATGATATTTTGTTGGATTCGAACACATAAGTATGACATGTAAAATTAGTACTCATAAAAAAGTTTCCAATCGCCAATGTTAGTATACAAATAATAAATTTACTTTATATAGTTAGGTAATACAATAAAAAATGAAAGAAAGAAACTAGATAAAACAAATCAAATCATTTTCGAGTTTTAAATTCTTTTGTCGTTTACTTCTGTACAATTTGCTACAAGTTTTATTTTAACATTTTTCTTTGTTTTTGTTATATTTTTATTTTTGTGCTTTACTTTGTTCTTAAGACCAATTGGGTTTTTAATCCTCTTCTCTTTTCTCTTCAACTTGAGGCCATATTTTGACCAAGTTTTCGGGAAGTGTTTATGTGATATTTCTGGAGTAGGATTTGTGGGATATTTTAAATTAATTTTGAAAAATAAAGCTGTGTAGAGAATTCATAAGCAATTCAGTTAACAATAAAGAACCAAGTGTTTGTTAATATGAGCACGCTGATGATTTATAATGTGTACGCATGAGTTTTAAAAAAGGGGGATTAAGGTCTGGTAACTGTATTCATAATTAGTTGGCTTAGTTTTGAAGTTGGGTTATTGGTTATTCATATGGGGGAGATATAAGCTTAAAAATTGTAATTTTTGAAAAAGATAAAAGTAAGCAAAGCTTTAAAAACAAGTTTACTTATTTGATAAGTGAAATATGAATATATATTAATTTGTTGGCAGTCCATATTGTTCAAATGCTGGAATGCTGTTTATATCATATTAGTATAAAATTTAAAAAAAGTTATTTGTATGGTATAAACAGCCTTTACAGAAAATAAATACAAGTGTTTAAGAAACCAAAAAAATACTTTCAAAGGCTTAGTTTTATTTCAGTTAGTAAATAGCCTTGCCTTATCCTTGTTCTTGAACCTACCTTTGGAAGTTCTGGCGCTTTACGTAATTCTCCCGAACAAATTCAATGATTTGTTTTTGCGTTTTTCCGCTGTAGCTGTAAATTTAAAACAAGTTGAGTAAAGTATTTCTTAAATCGAATATCTAACCCATACCGAAAAGAGCTGCCGCGTGAGAGCACACGAGTCTTGCGCCTGGGCGTGCTCTGCACGGTCGTACACCGAAAGAAACCATGATTCTCGACGCATTTCTTCCAGAAATTTTTGCACTCATTGCGACCTTCGAAGAAGAATTCGACGGTGTCTTTATAGTAGCCCTACAAGAGAGTACAAAATAATTAATAAATCAGTGCAGTTATATACCTTTTAGACTTACGTAGCCCTCGGGATGAAGCTTGACTAGAAAACGTTTGCGCTTGAAGGATATCTTGCGTATCTTGGCCCACGAGAATGTATTAATACGCGTTATATTCTGAAACACGGTAATACCCATGTGCGCTACGGCTAGGTTTAGCGGCACGCCCTCCACATCCTTGGCAGGGTGCATTTTCATGCCATAAAGCTCACAGCGACGCGCTGTCTCCAGCAAATTTAGGTCAGCCTCAGCAGGCGATTGGCCGCTGCACAAAGCAAATGTCAAATGGGTTAACAAAATCTATATATAATATGGATTATATAGCTTACAAGTGCTTCTTGTGATTCTCCATAATCTTCCGTTGCATGGTCGCATCCTGGTGTGGCACAAAGCGATAGGATGACAAATACGTGTGATCTGGATAATCCTCGGGCACATAGTCGCCACACGATGCCTGCACTATGTAGCTGGCCATGAGGGCCGCGGTATTGTCATTGCACTGCAGGCTGCCCGTGGCCAAATCGCGTTTGATTTGCAAACAGAACAGGTATCTAAGAGGAGTAAAAAACGATATTAAGTACACAACTATTTGTGGAATGTAGACTCTTGGCCGTTACCTGGTATATTCCTCCTCCAGCTGTGCCGGATCTGGCGTATAGAATTTGATGCAGAATCGTAGCACAGGATCGATGAGAGATAGGCCCACCTGACGATTCATGGGCTTCTCTAGATCCAGCCAATATTTGGTATGTGTGGATATTTCCTGATACTCCAGACCAAAATAGTCCGCCTCCAGCAAGTTAAGCTGTCTGCAGACTTGTTCAAAGAGTACGCGACCCAAGGCCTTGGCCTGACAAAAGAAGAAGAATCCAATTAAGTAACCAGGAAATTAACTGAAATTCAACTGAAAAACCTTCTTGGTAAATTATAGCCCCTGAAATTTAGGAGACTTTTAGCATACGTTTGCATTTCCTTTCTTTACAATTCTGATTTGTTCTGCAAAGTTATGCGAAATGTTATAAGAACGCTCGCTTAACTCTAGACAACATATGTATAAAGCAGTTGAAAACTTGGCAACTGTGCCACAAATCTAAGCGCCACATAAATCAACAGCCACGACGCGTCGTTGGCCTAGCTCTTTGTCTTGCTGTTGTGTGCCACACGCCATTAGGGTTGATTAAAAATGCCATTAGATAGCGTTAAATAATAAATATGTATTTGCTGCTGCTGCTGCTGTTTTTTTGGAATTTGCACTGCACTCGAATTGCAGTGACCCCCAGTTCGTTTGCTTTTCGCTCAATTTGGCAGCGGACAAAGATCTGAACGACCTACATTTTATCTTAACTTAATTGCAGCCAGAGACGAGATGCCTAGGCAGACAAGTGGCCCAGTTAGCAAGCGGGCAGCAGTAGCTGAGCCGAGGCGACAACTCAATTGAAATTTATTTAAATGCAATCAAACGGCCATCGCCCACAAGCCAATTGACGGCGTGTGCTAACGCTCGAATGTGCGCGGATTAAATTTTTAACAAACTTAACGAGCTTAGTCAGCGCAATTGCATTCGTCACGCCCTTAAGCCCACAACCAGAATATGCCCGGCTACTACCCAACGCTCGCTGCTTAGTGAGTAAACTGTGCGTAAAATTGATGGAAAAACATTTGTTTTCTAAAATATTCAACACTCTGGCAACGTCAGCATAAAATATTCAACTGGCTGTCAGAAGAGTAAATAGATTATACAACAATTTAGCAAGCCGCGTTTGCATAAATTATATTCTTTAGCCTTTTGATTTATTCAGAATACATATATAAGTCTACAGTCTAGGAAGACTCATAACTAAATCAATAATTCGATTTACTTTATATAATTTATTAAATACATAACAATCAAAAGCAAATAAATCATGTAGCAAATATAAAATTTATATAAATTCCTAGCAGTACTTGCTTACATAGTTAAGACACGTCTATTTACACACCCACCACAAGTTGGTTGAAATGAAGATTTCATCAACAAGAACTTATTAATGATCCATTCACTCGCAACACCTATTGTCCTTGGGATGTCCTTCAGTTCGCTAATACGTTAAGTGGCAAACACATGTCTAGATTAGAGCCATCTGGCTTACACACAACACACAGCACACACATATGCTAATTTTTGGCTATGGCAACAGCCGCAAGGACATGAGTGCCACTCCATGTCCTGAGCAGCTGCTACACCTTTGCACCATTAGGCAAATGGAAATGTTATTGACATTCCTGCAGAATATATATATATATATATATGCCAAGGAGCCGTTGAGAATGAGTCAAGAAGTGAAGAGAACTGCAAAGTCTGCTTCCAACAGGCAATCAGGCAAAGTGCCCCGGCCAACAGTTCTTCGATATTTACAGTTGACTTTGGTCAGTTCAGAGGACGTGACAAAACGTAATTAAATTTTTAGCTAGCTTATAGTTTTCTATTTCTCTTTGTATATTTAAATATATTTATGGTTGTTTTTGGTAATTTATTAAAATGGTTTTTGGGCGCGGTCAGGATATAGGTTTAAATAATTATTTGTGAAAAATATGAGCAATTTAATTAAAATATATCTGTCAAATCCACATGCTCCACAAACATAACGTCATAAGCCCTAGGAAAATGCCATTCGTCCCCTTTCTTTATTTTTAATTGAAATGTGAGCTTTCAGCAAACAACGAGTTCAACTAAAACAATGAAATAACAAACAATGTGCCGACACAAAGGAATAGCTGATGCATTTTTTATGAGTAAAGAGAACGACGAAAATAAAAATATATATGAAAATAGAATAGTAGCAAAGTTGCGCAGAATTTTCGTTTTTATTTTTTGTTCTATGTGTTTTAAGGTCAATTGGGAATTTTGTGGGGAAGTGCGATGCATTCGAAATGCGAGCACAAACTCTGATTTATTATGTAAAAGGTTTGAAAACTTCATGCATCGATTGTTGCAATTGGAGCATACTTATGGACGGTGCTATTAACTGAGATCTGAGCGGGATACGCTGACTAGTTCCAATTGATTTGCAAATTACAGCCAGTAGCTCAGACGGAAAATGCTGCAATTTTTCTGGAATTTATTCTTATCATCAATAGAGAATACTAAAAATATCGATAGTGTTTCATGTAAACAGATTATTAAATAGAATTCTAAGAATTACTTTCTTAAATTTTAGAATCTTTTAAGAAAAGTACATCACAAAAGACTGTTACATATATTAAATAAATATATTTGAATTTAAATATGCATAATTCTTCTTTAAATGCTGCTTAAGCTATTAAAATAATGAATTTCTTTGTAGTTCATAATTGACTTTGCCAAGCGTTGATAACTTGCTGCCCACAATTTGGCAACATCGTTTGCGGTTGTAGAAGCATAATTTAATTGCCGTTTGTTATCGCAGCTAAACAATGAATTCCCTTCCGAATGCAGTCAGAAAACAATTTGGGAAATTTGAGGAAATCTAATTTCACTGCGGCTACACCACTGGGACCAGCCTTCCGGCACTACAGTTTCAACTAATTGTCAGACTAAAGTTAAATTTGCACAAGTTTTCCACAATAACTGAAGCATATTTAATTTAATTTCAGCAAACAACAGGAGCGCAAAAAAGGAACAAGTATAACAAGGGAGAGAAGCTTTTTGTTGAAGGCAGATTGTACGGGTTTGCCCATGAGAGAAGCTGCTCCAGAAACTGCAGTGGCTGTCGGAGGTGGAGCAGCAGGAGCAGCAGGAGACGGCAGCAACAATGGCCCCAAAAAACCACGCCCGAACTTTGACATTTAGCCTGCAGATGGCAATGGGCGGCATTTTATCTATGTCTCGCATGGCAGGCCAATTCACTAAGCCAATTTGGGACTTTCAGCAGCTACAATCAGCCAATTAGCTTTGGGCGCGGCTACGGCAAATGGCAAAGGAAGATGGCGAAAAATCACAGGAATACCTACCAAATGTAAACAAGCGAGAGGGGTGAAAGAGAGAGAGAAACACACACATATATCTGTCGACAATTTGTCGCACAAATACAACAAATAGATGCAAAAGGCAGCTGCCTCAGCAGCCTGCAGGTGTTTTCTCCCGGGGGCTGCTAGCACCCGCAATCTGACTGCAATGCTTTTCGCCTTTTGTTCTTTTATCAGCCAAGAGACACTCGTACACACACACACACACAGTTGTTGTTTGCCCATGGAAACAGCTGCCGGGCGCAAATAAAATTGCAGTTATGCGGGCGCCTGTAACCAGAAACCTAATGGAGAAGTTTATGAAAGCTGCCAACGGATATCACTAAGTGCACAGGGGCTTCAGGATTTGTCATACATATCATGTAATGTGTGAACGGAAACGATAAGCTGCTTGCTGTAACATTACAACATTAAACAAAAGCTGCGTACTATGAAACTCGCCATCATTCTAAGTAGTCCATTTTAAATACCATGCTTCAAAATATGTATGTATATTTAGAATAATTTATCATCTTAGACAACTGTGGAAATAATAAGCTTGCATCAAGTTAGTTCAAGCTTCGACAGTTCATTTTATTCGTGAATACCTAATTCGATTTGGTAAACTTAATGCACCAAAGAGCATGCATTTCCCTTAGCTACTTGCCATCGAGTGCACTGAAAAGCCTTTTCCAGTACCTGCAAATAAATCCTATTTATAGTTGAGAAGTTGCCTCAAAGCACCTGCCAACGAAATGTGACCTGCAATCGCATCAATCTTCAGACTGAAACTGCTGCCAAATGGAAGCCAAGCATAAAATGAAATTGCATTAATATATAGAAGCATGCGCCCTACATCCCCATCTTCACTTCATGCATACATACATATATATACATATATAACTTGAAAATTGTATAGTAATGTATAATTGTATATAAGGGAGTCTGGGCAGCGGCGCATTCTGCAAACACGCATAAGAGATTAATGCGACAAGTGGAGCACAGCACAGCAGAGATGGGGAAGGGGACTGAGAGAGGAGCCTGCGGTTGGCGCTGAGACCTGTGCTGCGCTTGGGCGTGGCAGGGCATTCACATTTTCTGGCTGGCAGCCAAAATGTGTTCCGGCCTAACAAGAGCACAACAAACAGGCAGTCAGCCAACAGCTGAGGCAACACACAGAAGCTGCCGACAAATCAACAAATTTTCAGTATCAGCTCCCCCCACAGTCCTCCACCCAAGTCAGACCTGGTTTGGGAGGTGTTGCGGATGCTGCCAACTCCAAAAATAAAAGTTTTTTTTTTATTTCTTTCTACTTTGTATTGTGTCTATGCTCAGTATATACACAGAAAACGGAAAGGTGTGTGCGAGAAAACAATTTTTAAACAGATATGATATATCAATAGATTCTAGATAGGCATATTGATATTGATTCTGGCTTATCTACAGTTTGATTTTAACATTTTTAACAAACGGAAGTTTGTGAAAATGGGTGATTTTATGAGGACTAACTTTTAGTTTTCCCCTTTGGACTCAAGTATTGTTTGTTTCTTGCCTACTCCATGGTTCATTTGAGGTCCACGAACTGTAACCAACACACACACATACACACACTTAAACATGTGCCCGATTGTTGTAGTTGTTGTTATTTGACTGCATTTGACCACAAATCACATTAATACAAACACACAGCCGCTGTCCTGCTCCTGGTTTTCTTTGTTGCTGTGTTCCTTTTTCCTTTTTGCCCAATGTGCTTTCAGTCTTGTTGGGTTTTGTTAATGGGTTTTCTGTATTTTCTGTAGTTGCTTTTGTTGTTCCACTTCCTGGCTCCATTAGCCCAGCAGCTAGCCAAGCAAAAGGCTTACTCGGTTTTTAGTTGAAGTGGCCACGCCCTGGCTGGCCCCCTTAGCCCCTTTCTGCCGCGGCAAACTTACAGCGCAGACACACATTTCAAAGGTTTCGCTCACTTCAACATGGCGTGGCAAAAAGAATGCTGGATAAAATGTTGCAACAACAAAATGGCTCCTGTTAGTCACACCATTGTTATACCCTTCACGCTGGCCATATCGGGTATGCTAGGCAGGAACCAGAACTTCGTGACCAATCAAAATCAATCAGCTTTGAAAGGGACTGAGCTCTCAGCATTGATGAAGGCATATGCCATATTTTAAGATCTGCAATATTTCTAAAACTATGTAATAGGGTATATAGTTGGCCTATAGTCTAGAGAGTCAAGTTTAGCGACACACTTAAGCTGTTGTTGCGGCTGCTGTTGGCATTGTTGTGCGGATATGCGTTGTTGGCTGTGTTGGTGTTTGTGAGTGGGTTGTTTGGCTTGGTTTAAGAGTAAACCCTTGTGAACCAGTTGCACTTGAGGCGCTGCTGCTGCTGCTGCTGCTGCTGCTGGTAGTTCTACAAATGTTGAGCGCTTTTTAAAGTGCCACACAAAAAAAAATTATTTTATGGCAACGATGGCCCCGGCTCGAACCCTTTGCTGATTGCGCCCCCGCATCTCAGCTTAAATAACGCCCAGTGCGGACTTATTAAATATTGAAGCACGTAACAAATTTGTTTGCCAGCAAAGCGCTAAGCGCAAGTATACTGTATGAAATATCTCCTCAGGCCCGCGCACACACTGCGTATACGTAACGGCGCTTGTGCAATCCAATGAATGAGGGCTGCAGCTTTATAAATAGATTCACCCCCAAAGCATATTCTGCACTCAGTTGCCAACCACAATCAACCACAGCTTGTATTTTGCAATATCACTTTGTGGTCGTGGCAATTTATGCACCGTTAACTAAGCGCCAGTGCGGTCAAGAGCATTATGGGTAAATAGGGTTGATCGGGTTGATAGTATTTAATGCATAGACACCCATTGTATGCCAGAGTCTCAACTAGTCAAACATTGTTATGAAACTCTTATGACTGTACATATCTAAGTCCATGTGTATAGAGCCCTAACTGTCAATAAATATTCTCTGCAGTAATGCAACACAAGTGCTCACATAGCTAATCTCAAAGCTCTGCTGCATAACGACCTTGAATTCATACCGATAGTAAAATATAATTCATATTGTTTAATAATACATTTTAACTGTTCATCTCTCCTACTTCCCAAACTACGTTTACAGGGTATTGTTGGCCTTCCGAATGCCCTGCGGTTTCACATTTTATTCTGATGGGTCAGCAAAACGACGACCGCATATTTAGTGAACTATTCTATGCGAGACCTTAAAAATGTTTAGTATTTTAACGTTACTGCATAACTTTACAAGTCTTATACAAGTCTAATGCAACATGTACATTGGGCCTGTCTTAAGAACCGATTTTTGTTTTCTGTTTTGACTTTCATAATTTTATAAGAGACGTGAATAAAAAGACTTCAGGCATGGCCGCTCTTCAATCTTCTGTTTTATTGCAGTTTTTAGCGTTTTAGCTATTGGCTTTCCGGCCTTTCAGCGTTTCATTTATTTGCCATGACACACAATTTTTGCTTTTTCCTTTTCGCATTTTACTTTGACGCCAATTTATTTATCTAACAAAAGGCTTCGCTGTTCCGTTTTTTATACCCTGAACCCATTGAAAATGGGAAATCAGGGTATAATGTTTTTG